GCAAGATCCAAAACAATTTCCTCAAACCAGCAGGAAAAACGACAGGCAAGAGAAGTCAATGGCTCTTTATTTGGGGAAGGATTACATGCGGTGACAGAAACAGAGGGCGGGGGGAAGGCAAATGGGTTCCGTCGCTAGGTAGGCCTCAGGCCTGGGCAGAAAGGCCACGGATCAGGCCCAACTTGACGCTAGGCCTCATTGGTGGGGGGGGGGGGGATCTCCCTCGGCTCCGGAGATACGGCCGCGATCGAAGATGGTGGGAGGCAGACGTCAGGGAGAAACGAGGTCCCCAGGATGAGTAGGGCTGGCGTAGGCCGTCACTTCTACTCTGCGTTCGGATGTGACCAGTCATCGGGCAGCGACTCCGGGCCTGCGGGAGGAAATTGGCGAGGTTGGCCAAACTGAAGAAAGGAGGCCCAAAACTTCATCATCATTCCTACCCTCGCCCCCAACACCCAAAGAACCGATCAGGCCTGAGGCCTACACAAAGGCCCCACGTACGGTCCCTCAAGGCAGACCACGGGTCAAGCAAGGCCTAGTCAGATAGAGCGTCTGTATCCCGGGAGATCTCTCTAACCCCCTCTCACACACGCGCACACTCTCTCACACTCTCGCTCGCGCGCACGCACACACATGTTTAGCTCCATAAGTAACCCCTCGCTGTTACACACTAAGGGAAGACCATGTCCATGCTGCCTCTCCCCGCACAGATAACTTCCACAGTGTTGCCCTGCCTCCAGACCATCCCAGGGCCCTGGGACTATTCCCAAATGATGTCCTGCTATACGTTCCACTTACGGCATCTCTGGCAGAGCGCGGGGCAGTGGTCATAGACGTAGAGATTGTAACAGGCACTCACTCCAAGCCTGGAACACGATGCATCATTCTGGCATGGCGCTGTGTCAGAGAGAGAGAAAATGGTTAGACAGGTCCAGGGAGAGAGGGACAGAGAGAAACAGAGACAGAGAGAGAAAACGGTTAAATAGGGCCAGGGAGAGAGGGACAGAGAGAAACAGAGACAGAGAGAGAGAGGGCGAGACAGACAGAGAGAGAAAACGGTTAGACATGGCCAGGGAGAGAGGGACAGAGAGAAACAGAGAGAGAAAACGGTTAGACAGGGCCAGGGAGAGAGAGAGAAGACAGAGAGAGAGAGAGACAGACAGTGATTGAGAGACTGAGAGAGAGAGATAGAGAGACTGAGAGAGAGAGAGAGAGATAGAGGGAGAGAGAAAAAACGGTTAGACAGGGCCAGGGAGAGAGGGACAGAGAGAAACAGAGAGAGAGAGAGGGAGAGAGAGAGACAGAGAGAGAAAACGGTTAGACAGGGCCAGGGAGAGAGAGAGAGACAGCGATTGAGAGAGAGAGAGAGAGAGAGAGAGAGAGAGAGAGAGAGAGAGATAGAAAAAACGGTTAGACAGGGCCAGGGAGAGAGAAACAGAGAGACCGAGAGAGAGAAAGATAGAGAGACGGACACAGAGAGAGAGTCAGAAAGACCCACTATTAGAGAGAGAGGCAGAGAGAGACAGAAACAGTGACAGATAGAGACGGAGAGACGGACAGAGAGAGAGAGTGATACGGGGACAGAGTCAGAGAGAGCACATGACAGAGAGAGAGGGAGAGAGACAGAGAGACAGACAGAGAGAGAGAGAGGAGTGATAGAGAGACAGAGCAAGACAGAGAGTGATTCTGAGTGACAGGAGTGAGAGAGAGAAAGAGAGTGAGAGAAAGAGACAGCGAGAGAGACAGAGACAGAGAGAGAAAGAGAGAGCGAGAGAGACATAGAGCAAGAGAGACAGGGAGAGAGAGACAGACAGAGAGAGAAACTGGTTAGAGTGACAGAGAGAGACAGAGAGGAATCGAGGGGAATCGAGGGGAGAGAGATGAGAAGCATTGGGAGGGGGGTTGGTGAATCGAGGAGACGGAGGGTGACCTGACGGTGAGGGTTCGAGGGGGCTCTGGGTCGCTCGAGGACGCTCACTCACCCTCGCAGCGGTTCCCCAGACGGTGCCCGGGGCATAGACAGACACAATCGCGAACCGTCCCTCCGTCCTGACACGATGTTATCGCGCAGGCTGTAAAACACAAATCATAGTACTGTCCCGTCAGGTCTCCTCTTTCCTGTGGGGTGGGGACAGAGTTCCCCCTCACCCCCTCACCATCCACCCAACCCCCTCCCTCCTCCTCCTGACACACCTCACCCCCACCATCAACATCCTGGGGGCTACCCATTGAGAGAGAGAATCTATAACCCACTGAGAGAGGGAAATCTATAACCCACTGAGAGAATCTATAACCCACTGAGAGAGAGAATCTATAAACCACTGACAGAGAGAAATCTATAACCCACTGAGAGAGAGAAATCTATAACCCACTGACAGAGAGAATCTATAACCCACTGACAGAGAGAAATCTATAACCCACTGAGAGAGAGAATCTATAACCCACTGAGAGAGAGAATCTATAACCCACTGAGAGAGAGAGAAGCTATAACCTACTGAGA